CCTCCCCCCCCCCAAGTAACAGAGATGATCTGATATGAAAAGTGACACTCCCACATCCTGAAGCACCAGCCTGAACTGGGTCAGCTGCTGTACAAACGCACGGAAAGGTCTCTTGTGAACAACCTGAAGGTTAATATTAGCGGGGAGCAGAATAAAGGAGAAAGTCACGTCAATGCAGCTCTACGTTTTTTCATTTAGTAGGTCAGAGACGACCCCCTCATCACCCTCAGCTTGAGCCTGCAGTTACTTGGTCACTCCTCTCTGTAGGGCCTCATGTTTACGCAATTTTGCTCCTGTCACAAGCGAATGACTCTGAACAGGCTCAGGCTTAAGAGACTCACAGTGAAGTGACTCACATCTCCTGCAATTATTCAGTTCTCCTGTTTTCTGTTCTTGTAGACTGAAGGGAAGATTTCTGGCATGGAAACTTAATACCATGTCCAGTTTATTTTAATGCAGTTGTATTCAGATCACTCTTTTATGGCAGTTGTAAAACAATTCTCTGGAGAGACACTAAGTCTATCTCAGCAAGAAAACTCACGGCATAATCCAGACCAAACATCTAGGACTTGTGTTGGTTGAGAGAGGAAAAAGTACTGAAAGACATCACAAACCCCATCCCCAGCTCCGCAGAAGTTCTTCAGAGAACGAGGGAGCTGGCAGCGTCACCTGTGCACCAGCCACCTCTCACAGGAGGGGCGCTCAGGAGCAGCCCTCCATAAGGCACAACCATGCTGGGTAACTCGGGGGGTAAGTCACCTAGCGCAGTACAATCTTCCTCTTCTCTGGGGTATTTTGTTCTTCCTACATTTCTCTAAAGTTTCAGGAACTTCACAGAGCACCTAAACATCTTTGTGGATTTCAATAAACTTCACACTGACTCAGAGTCCCCAAATCAGCTTCCCTGCCAAGTCTCTTTCACCAGTTACATACAGAGCTGTCCACCGATCCTGCTGCCACCCTATGTCCCATTCTCAAAGGAAGTTTAGGAGACCCTGAGACAGCATACCATATCTCGACAGCAGAATCTGAACACAGCTGTGCTCCGATTTTGCAGGAAAAACACTGCATGCAAGAAAAATACTTGACACATATCTTAATCGGCTTCTCTCTGAGAATGGCTTAGATAAACCACTCATCTGGGCTATCAATAGTCCTGCTTGGGATATCGGACAGCAACCTATCACTTGATATAGTTCATAGCTGAGGATCCTAAGCAGAAATTAAAGTGCGCATCACTGGCCAGAGTCTGTTTTTCATGCAGAAATTCTGTCTAGATGGCTCCTTTTAGTACCCCTTGCCCGCATACTGTATAAGGAAGCTAGGCAACGTTAGTTCAGGAATCAAGACTGTACAATGCAAGACTGTCTAGCAAGCATTACAACATCATTGACTTGAGGGTCTGAGCCTACGTACTTTTTTATTGCTATTGTAGGAATTTCTGCCCCAGAAAACAGTGAAGCTCAAAGAAGAGTTAGGCTTCAAGATCACAACGCTGCCAATTGCAGAAATGCACATTGCTAATGATCGTAGCTATTTTGTGTCTAGGAAGAAGGGTAATGCTAGTCTGTTCCTATGGTGAAACCTAGTAAAACTGCTGTATCCACAGATATATCCACAGATATTAACTACCAAACATTAAGTCTGTTATTTTGCTTTATGTTACATAGGCCTATGCAGAGCTTCTGCTCCACATAAGGAACTCTGACACTGTATTTTTTGGCTAGCTGCTGACTTCGCTGGTCAAGTTATTTCTGGCTCACTATTTTAAAAGTATTCAGTTATTACAGTAATGGAGTCTTCAAACAAAGTTAGGGATCCTTTTATGGAGAGAAAAAAACCCAGTCTCATTCCCACTCCCTAGTTCAAAACTGAACAGCTTGGGCTAAAGTATTTGTTACTGCCTGCAGCCCTTCTCGCCCCTTTCATTCATATTTTTATATCACCTTGATAAGCACATGGCCATTTTGCAAGCTACAATCCTCAGCTAAAAACAAGTTTCACCCTGTACTACATGAGTCGCAGTGACCTTAGAAGAGGTATCACTGGGCTCCAGATAGGCATTTAGGCAATGATTAGTCTTAAGATTAGGAGCAAATCTTGAAGTGAACTTCAGTTCTTCAGTTGGAGACTGAACAGTAGTGAGTTCTATATTTTAAACTAGTTGAATTAAAAATACAAAACTTCTGTAAGTTAAATATCTCACCAGATTAACTGTGACTTTCACTTATTGGCAGAGTAAGTAGCAGCAGATTAGTCTGAGCTAGACCATATTTGGCCAAGTTTACTGGCAGTGGAAGGTACTGCCCTGTCTCAAGGATGTCTGCGAGTTTGTAACGTTAGGCTCAGCAATTCTAGTTACAGGTTATTTCAACAAATGAAAGGAAAGTTCTCAAAGCCCTTAGTGACCCTGGGCCTGGCAGTTCATGATCTTATGAAGTCCTCTGGTCAGTCTGATATGCTTGTCACCTCGGGGCAGCTTTGCCACGGGTAACGAACCACCCACCCACAAGAGCAGATGCGCGTGGGAAGACAGGGCTCTTGCCGTTCTTCACCTGAGCCTTCGTGTAGCACACTACCTGTGTGTTCTCCTGAACACAGAGAGCAACGAAAGAACATTTTAAGAGCTTCCGAACAGTCTGGAAATTGGACAAGGAATTAACTTTCTTCCATTTATCAATCATAATTCCATTGCACTGCCTTATCATTATTGCCACTACATTTTTTTATTTAGAAGATATTGGTATGCAAATATCTCAAAGTCACAATAAACATATCTTACCCTGGAAAGGCTGATTAACATAACTAAACAACCAGTAGTCGTGGTATTAGCCTGTTCTTCTCACTGTTTAAACTTCGCATGCAAGTCAGGGTCATTGCCTACTGCTCTCACAAACTAGTAGAATAACCTATGCAGATTCTTGCTAGTTAGCTTACCTTTCCATGAATATTAAAATTGCTGTTTCTTGGTGCACTGACATTCTGAAAGCTCTTCGTGTACTGTGGAGCAGCTGTCCAAGGGGAGTGCGGTGCTGGGGTGGAGATCATCATAAAGAAAGGTTCGAAATTAGATTTATACTCCAAGAAGTCCAATGACATGTTGGCCTGTGAACAGTTTTGTTGGAGAAGAAAAGTCATACCTCCAAAGGAAAACAGCAAGTATTTGAAAAATCCAAACTAGACATTTATAACTTATTTAGAGCTCAGTAGTACTGGGAACATTTGAACTATTTCAGAAAGTTACTGCTTGCTCATCTACAAGTGCCCAGAACAGCAGCTCATGATAAAAAAAATCCCAAGTGTTCATGTTAAACAAATCATTTGTCCCACATCTCTGAATGGCTTTCTACTTCAGACCTTTGCATTTTTTAGACCTGGAAGCTCATCAAAAGTTACCGAGTATCAACAAAATCCACCTAAACTCTGCTTTCATCAAGTAAAATTGGAGCTTTCTTTAACACAGTCCGAGTCTTTCTGAGGCTCTCAGATGCCATCTCCTGCCTGACAGATCCCAGTTTAGCAGTTTCAATTGTCTTCAGAAACAGCAGTAGCTCTGAAAAAGTTTTTCAGCCCCACTGTTTATAGCGTATGCTCATTCTGTAGCAACCTCCTAGTTTCTAAGGGATGCCACATTTCTGCTGGTGAAACTGGAAGCTCTAGTGAAGGAGAGTGCCAAACTCCACTCGCTCACACCACTTCACTGCACTTTCATTTTCGTTTCAGCCCATACACAATTTCAAGTAGCAAGTTAGAAGAGACTGCAAGTTCCATTTTGCCCTTCCCTTGGTCAGCCTTTGAAATGAAAGCTTCAAAAGGTATTACTCACAGATGAATTCTTCACTATTCAAATCTTGCAACATTTTCCTTTCCTGTCTGATTAGTACACCTCATTTTGGAAAGCCTTTTCTTTCTCTAGAAGAAACAATACACTAGGAATTCCCTCCTCTTCCTTCCTCCTAAACTTCTACATCTAAGCAAGTGGGGCTGGACTTCAGTTATATGACAACAGAGTTAAGGGAGGATAAGAACTCTATGAAGTTCAAAAACCTGGTTCAGAAACCAGTATGATGTAGGTAAACTCATAGAGGTAGTCAACTTAGATTCTGTTAGGAGCTTAAACTGCAACATGTCAGGACTGCAGTAGACAGATCCAGGTGTTCAGATGCCTAATACCAGACTTAAGTACCCAGATGTCCTTAGTCAGGACAAGAAAGCTTGTGCATCACATCAAGCAACACAGGAACTTTGCACAAGCAACTGACTCCTGTGCACTGCCCGTCGAGTGAATTAAACTCAAACAGTAGCTCTGAAATGCTGAATACATATTGGTAGAATATGTATTCAGCCTGTATACAGGCAGAAGGTAGAATGCAACACACAAAATCATAATACGCTGCTGTAGCAATAGGTAACACACCACAGGTAAGAGGTTTATGCAGCAACGACCTGTTGGTTAAAATGCTTACGTGCTGCTGAAGGATCAAAAAAGACCAGTACAATGCCAGTAATAGGATAGTCTCACTTCTGGCTTATCAATTCCAATCTAGCTTTAGACAGTGTAAATCTAAATTTAATCGGACAGCTGTTCAGGACCCTAAGAAACATCAATCAGTTCTGTTCCTAGTAAGCAGCTGTCTGTGTTCAAGAACCCACTGGAATGAAACACATTAGGGTCTCAAGGGAAGACTACAAATCCACTGCATGAGGGGACTTCTCGGAGAAGAAGTTTCCTGAGCGCTGCATGTGAGCTCGCAGCACCACCAACTCATACACTGCAACAGCATGTCAAATTAAGACTGCAGCTTGGCGGGCAGGGGGAACACTTCCTTTCCCTCCCTCCTTCCCCCCACAAACCCCTCCAAGCTAATCCTACTTGCTAAACAGGGCCTCAAGAGAGCTCAAGTAACTCTTCCAACTCTCCTTTAAGTATTTGGCATCTCTGTTACCTCTCTTTACCTTAAGAGGATAAAGAGGCTAAAGACTCCGCTGGTCAGCTATGCCTTTTGGCACAGTCCATACATTGCCCTCACACACTATGAAGGATCGATTAGCCTTTGATATTTCCAAGTTACCAGTTTCACTAGTTAGAGATTACAAGACACTGACACATCACAATATCAAACAAACAGAACACGGTGTAAAGTTATTTTTACACACTTAACTTTCCACTAAAATCTTGACCCAATTTATCTGTTACAGAAGTTGTGTATTGTAATGAAAAACAACATTTTATGAAGTAATTTAAGACATTGCCTACATGCATCACATTCCTCATGCACCGTAGCAGTCAGTATTAACCTCCCGGTGAGGCTACTGGCTAGCAAATGGGCAACTGGAATCTCTTTTCTCCCCACAGCTCGTACACACAAACTTGTCATTTAAAAATATACCCAGAGTTTTGCTCTGCTGATTAATGCCCACCCACCATCACGACAGCACAATCACGTATTTATGAACTAATGCGGCCTAACAAATTATCATCCCCACCCTTCCCCAAGCCCCCAGAATGAGGCATTATCTGGTCATAAGCAGCTTCTGTAACACAGGTGTTCCAAAATTTCTTACCAGTACATCTGTCAGATAATCTACACTGTAGTTCTCGCCATGCCTTCGTGCTTTGCCATTTACTGAAAGAGTATAGTTGTAGTACTTTGAATTTTTCTCCTGTGAAAAAGAAAAGTCATGTGCACATTTATACAAAGTAACATGTACATTCATTACTTGAAATAATCAAAATGAGCTGCCAACAAGCATTTGTCAAATAGCTTATAAGCATGTGTCACAAGGACACCGCAAGAATTCTCAGAACTGGTCTCCAACAACAAAACTTATTTTAGTGCTATTTCACATTGCCTTGGCTTTATAAGTCAGGCTTTTTCCCCAGGCACCTTAGTAGGAATAGCTTTTGTGAAAGCCAAGGATCTGATACACGATAGAGGAAAAAAGGGATGAAAATTTGCATTAAGTTGTTAGATGCTCTTTCATGACCAGCGAAGTTGTAATCCAACTCGTGTTCTAAAGCAACCCAAATTAAGTATTTTAAAAAAAAGAACAGCCACATACCAAAGCATACCAGAAACTCCATCCAGGAGGGACATGACCTACGCCCCCTGCATCCTCTGCTCCATACTGAAAAAAGACAGACCATGACTCACAGTTTCAATTATGATGAATAAAAGCTAGAAATTATGTTTCATATTCATGCGCTTTATTCAACACTAGTCAGAAACAGCATTAAGCCAAATTCAATTTCAGAAAAAACCAAATATATATGCATATAAACACATATGTACAGCCTGTTAGAGAACAGGGTTAAATAACTAGAAAGACAGTAGCTTGACATTCACCAATAAAATTTAAATTTTATTCCCTGTTCTACTCTGCACATGAAAATACGCAGAGATCCTGGAGAACATACAGTGCCCTATCAGGTAATGAGAGGTGATCACAACACGCATGCAACAAGACATTCTTATGCTTTGTGATAAACAGCTCACAAGATACTAAAGAAAATGTCGCATAGACCAACAGCTTCCATCATCCTCCCCCACGAGGGGGTGCGAACTTTAAGCAACGCTAGCCTCTTGTCACCTCAGTGCCAAATAATCTACAACAACTAGCCTTTAAGCCAGCAAAAAAAGGAAAGTAGCTGCTGAATCAGTGCCAAACTCAAAACAGAGGGTGCCTCAGAGCAACACAACGGGTTTTCTCAGGGCTGCCCTCTCCCATCTACATGGCTCGCCTAACTGCAGGGACAGGAGACTATGCTGAGTCAAGGGATGCTCAAAGGAAGCCAGATAAGTTTCCCTTCCCCTAGCTGCCTCGGTAACACCAGCAGAAATAAATTTGTGCCTGGTTATGAAAATTCATGTTCCATTATTCTATTATACCACCACCATTTTCCACCAAGAGATGCAAGGAAAATAATGCCATTAAGAACGCTAGAACTCATCTAGCTCCAAATACAATTCCATCACACAAGAGGAACTCCTGATCTTACAGCTTACCATAAACTACAACAAACCACAGCTTAGTCAGAAACAGAAAAAAACCTAAAAGCACACACATACACGTGATTCAATAATAAAATGTTGGGTAACCTCTGAAAAGAGCTCCAATAATACCTGTTCTCCCAATGAATTTGCCTCAGTGGACATTTAATATTTAAAATACCAGATTAACTGCTAAAAAGAAAATAGTCCTCTGATTCAAGGGGATATTATCAGTCAGGAATATTGAGAAAAAATTATTTTTTTCTTTAACATTATTCTAATATCGTGCCTGGTCTGGCACTGGCTTAATGGTGGTCTCCAATACCGCACGCCAATCATCTATCCATTTCCCCCATCATCATCTCTAACAATCAACACATCTGAACATACTAAAACAGCCTTTGGATTCCATCATCCTTTCAAAATTAACTTTTAAAAACATTCAGGAACCTACAGAACCTGATTTCAAACAAGTTAAGTTAAAGATTTGAACTTTGCATTGTATTTATCCCATCTCAGCAAAAAGAGCTCTTCATCCAAGTATCACCATTTTAAACATTTTGGGGACCCACCATCAGCTACAAATATAAAAATCTATGAATGTTTTAGAAAGGTGGACAAACGGAAATGAACTGCATCACAGTAAAAAAATAAGCACAAAATACCTCATTCAAATACTTTCCAGCAAAGAACGTTTGATAACCACACATAGTTTTGAGCACCGCTGGGAAGGTGTATGGTTCTTGAATCTTCTGCCATAACTTGCTGCTACAGTTTCCTTCCAGAGTGTTATTGACAACGTGATGATTATGTGGATATTTTCCTGTTAAAATGCTAGCTCGGCTGGGACAGCAAAGTGCACTGGGAACGTACTGGAAAGACAGGATGAAGAAATACAAGATCAACATTGTAAAACAATTTTTCCTCATAATTTATAGTTTTGAAGTATCAGCTAATAGGTTGATTAAAAAGCTGACCAACATCAAAGCATACTCCTTTTCAGACACAAAGAATTACATCCCAAGTATTTGCACTAGTGGAAAGCTGCACATGAAACTGGTTTTAGGTTTCTGCATCATATACCCTTCAACCCCATCCCTCCCATTACAGATTAGATGTAGTTCTCGCAAGCATCCATTAAAATACTGTTTACCAATTGATTCACTCCATTATTTTAGCCACCGCAATATACTAGAATATGAAAAGAGTGAAGTGGGTTTTCAGCACACACGAAGCTGGAAGTTTTAAGTAGCTTCTTTTAACGCTTCTCAGTTTGCAATCAAAATATTCAGATTACTCTGTTTTACTTTACTGCTTAAGGAACTTAGCACAAGTACTTTTAGGAAGTGAAACTTTCAGATTCTGAACGTAACCACAACATCACATAATCATTTTATGACCTAGAAATAGTTAAGAGATTGAATTTAAAAACCCCACACACATATGTACAGACTTCGTCAAACTATTACCAGTTCTGAGATTTTGAAATTACCCAAGATACAAACCACACAGGTGCACATACCTCAGAAGTTCAAAGAGCTAATGTAAACACTTACTGCATTTAGGAAGGTTATTCCCATCTGCGCAATGAGGGCATTCGTCTTCTTTAGGGGTGTCTGGAAGAAAGGGACCAAACCGAAGTCAGCTAGAAAGGTAAGGGCGCCGGGTAAAGCAGCGGAGTGGAAGCAGCTGTACAAGCAGCCGGGAGAGGGCCCCCCGCCACCGGTGCGGGGCACTGGCCCGGGCAAGCGCC